TGGGGACGGGTAGTCTTGATGTTCCTGGCATCCAACCATATAGTATCGTCCACTAGGAAGTGGCGGGTAGGCTGTCTCTTCTGGTTAGCATACTTCTCGTGACGGGCCTGGGCTAGGCAGATCTTGGCTCGCAGGTACTCGTGGACAGCATTTATCTTCTGGGTAAGTTCCTCGGCATCGCGGGCGGCGGGTTGGTCTCGTGTCAGGGCTGGCTCGAATCCTAGTCTCGGGTGGTAGCCGTAGTTCGCGAAGAACGGCGTGGTCTGGGTACTCTCGTTGATAGTATTATTCGCAGCGAACTCTGCTAAAGGCAGCTAGGTAGACTAGTCGTCCTGTAGATATGACACGTGGCTGCGGAGGTACTGTTCTAGGAACGAGTTCGCTCTCTTAGTCTGGCCATCAGTCTCGGGGTGGTACGCGGTGGACAGGAGGGGCTTGATCCCTAGGCGGCGGGTCAGGTGATTCCAGAATGCAGACACGAACTGGGGTCCTCGATTGGACACGATCGTCTGGGGCAGACCGTGGAGTTTCTACACGTGCTTCGTGAACAGTCTTGACACCTCTTCTGCATCGCAGGTTCTGTGGTAGGCGACGAAGTGTCTTATCTTGGTTAGGCGATCTACGACCACAAGGATGGCGTCGTGGCTCTGGCTCTCTGGTAGGTGTGTGATGAAGTCTATAGATACGTCTCGCCAGGCCCGCTCTGGGATCGGCAAGGGTCTTAACACTCCCTGTTTGGCCTTACGGGACGCGGTCGTTCTTTTGTAGGAGTGGTAGTTCTGGACCCAGCGCTCAACGTAGTCTAACATGCCAGGCTAGTAGTATTCTCGAGACAGAGACTCGTACGTGCGGGCTCTCCCCATATGCCCGGCAACCGGGCTCTCGTGGTATATGCGCAGCAGTTCTGTATGTAGCTCCGGGCACTTGGGGACGTACAGGCGGTCACGGTAGTATAGGTACCTATCCCGTTCCGCGCACTCCGCAAGTGTGATTTTCTTATGCCGTCTAGCGTTGGTGCGGAGTGCGGATAGAATCGACGACAGCTTGGGGTCGTTCTGATACCTGTTATCGAACATGGATTGGATCTGAGGCGGGAGCAGCGGTGCGGTTCTCTCAGGTGGCAGGCTTGGGCGGGCAGGTTGGTGTATAGGGAGTAGGCGTAGCGTGCAGTCGTCGCTAAAGCGGACAGTCTTCTTTGGTGCAGCCTCACCCGGGCTGGCAGTAGGGAGGACTAGGGGGGAACTAGGGAAAGTTTCTTGGGTACCCCCCTGTAGGGAGTTTGGTTCGAAGTTCTCCTTCTTCAGTACCACCCGGCTCTGGTGCTCGAGGCGTTCATCCCCCTCCTTAGGCAGGTCTCCTGACCTTCTGGTCAGCGCATTAGGCTTTGCTCCTAGCTTATCTGGTCGGTACACAATTTTGAAATTAAAACGGGAAGGAAATTCAGCTCAGCGGGCTTGTCGTCTGTTTAGCAGCTTGGTCGTCGTAAAGTATTCTAGGTTGCGGTGGTTAGTAATTACTTTAATAGGAGACGCTGTGCTCTCTAGCTCAGGTCTCCACTCCTCGAAGCAGCGGATAATTGCTAGTAGTTTCTTGTCGTAGATCTCGTAGTTGCACTCCGTGACTGAGTGCTTCTTAGAGAAGAATGCCACTGGTCTTAGAATCCCGTCGTCTCCGTGCTGCGACAGCACTCTAGCTGACACGTAGTCGGACGCGTCAGTCTCTAGAATGATCTCCTTGTCCTAGTTGAAAGGGGCTAGGATAGGCGCCTCCGTGAAGGCTGACTTTAGATAATTAAAGGCCCCCTAGTAGGTAGTACTCTATTGAAATTTAACTCCCTTCTTCGTTAGGCCTACTATAGGCGCTATAATCTTAGAGAAGTCGCGTATAAATCGGCGGTAAAAATTACTAAACCTGATAAACGCTTGTACATTAGTTAGGCAGGTAGGCGTTGGCTAGTTCTAGATAGTCTCGACCTTTCGCGGGTCCATTCGGATACTCTCCCTTCCTACGATAACTCTAAGGAAGGTGGTCTTAGTCTTGAAGAATTCGCACTTCTTCATCTGGGCATATAAGCTAGCCCTGCGTAGGGCTGCTAGGACCTTTCTTAGGTGGTCTTTATGCTCGCTTCGGCTACGGCTGTAGATTAGAATATCGTCTAGGTAGGCGGTGCAGAAAACGTCGAGATACTCTCGTAGGGTGTCGTTAATAAACCTCTAGAACGTGGTAGAGGTACCTGTTAAGCTAAACGGCGTCACTAGGGACTCGTATAGTCCAAATCTAGTACGGAACGCTGTTAGATACTTCTAGCCTTCCTTAATGCGTACGTTGTTAAAGGCGGCGACGATGTTGATTTTAGAGAAGTACTTTATGCCCTTTAGGTTATTCAAGCTTTCCTTAACTAGCGGGAGCGGGTATCGGTCCTTAACAGAGATATTGTTTAGACCACGGTAGTCTACACAGAAGCGGAGCCCTTTATTAGGCTTCTTAATAAAGAGGACGGGGGACGCGGCGGGAGAGGAGCTAGGACGGATGAACCCCTTACGCAGGTTCTCCTCGAGCCATTCTCGTAAGGCTATAAGCTCTTCGCGGGACATTGGGTACAACGGGCTAAAAGGGGGGGTCTTGCTCTCTAGCAGGCGAATGTTGTGATTGTGGGCGCGGTGTGGGGGTAGCTTCTCCGCCTCCTTAGGTGAGAATACGTCTATAAACTTCTAGAGCTCCTAGGGGAGGAGGTCTCCTAGGTCTACGGGATTAGAAGGGTTCAGGGGGTTAGTGCTAGCTAGAAGCTCGTCGATTTGTTCAATCGACACTTTAAAAATTTGGTAGTTTCTTCGGGCGTATACTGCGTAAGCCCGCAAGGATACCTTTGCGATATCTAAGTGACGGAGTTTCTCAGGTCGGTTAGGCACGGCGGCAGGGCGCGTCTTCTAAGGTATATTATGTAGGGCAGGGATCCAGGTTGGGCGGTTGGGGAGGTTGTAGTTGTTCCGATAGTACTTACTATCGAACGTGAAAGTATGGTTCGCGAACCCTACTTGGGGGTCGTGAAGCTTCATCTAGGGCATCCCTAGGATGACAGGGTAGTGTGCTAGTTGCGTAGCTAGCAAGCAGATAGTCTTATGGTGGTTACTTACTACCATGTTGGTTTTCAGGTAATAGGTAATAGACCCAGTCTCGGCTTCTCGACCGTTGAACACTTCTAGTCGGATTGGTCGTTTTAGTTCCTATAGGGGTAGTTGTCGGCCCTGGGCCTAGTTTAGGTCGATGAAGCCCTTCCCTTCGGCTCTAGTGTTAGTTATCGCGTAGGTGGGTATCGTCTCTTCCCCCACCTTTAGGGTAATAGGTAGTATTATTAGGTTAGACCTCAGCTCGCTTTCCTCGCTTACTGAGAGTCCCTTGGCAGACGCAGCGGAAATACGGACTAGGCGGCGTTGGTCCTAGTTGCGCGGTAGGGGAGCCTGGACGCGACTTAGTTTAGGCTCACCCCATTTACTGACTAGTTGGGGCTACTCTGGGGGCTGGCACGGCGGTAGTTGGAGGGCGAGTGTGGAGGGGTGGTTCAGCGTCCTCGGGGGGGCGTAGGGGCACGGCGGCGTGTAGGACTAGCGGCGTATTCTATGTTACTGGAGTGGATCTGTAGGGCTGGGCGATTATCTGGGTGTAGGCAGTCCCTAACCCAGTGCTGCGGCGATCCGCAGCGGAAGCACTCGTTTCTCTCTCGTCTCCCTCCTGTCGTAAAGTTCTTCTGAGAGCTCAGGTCCATCGGGTCCGCTGGAACGGCGGTAGTGAGGGGGGCGGGACAGGGCGCGGACGGGCGGCCTATAGTCTCTCTAGTGATATATCCGGGGTTCTTAGTGGATGGTGTTCCTCGAGATCGGCTAACCTGCTGTTGGTGCTGGCGGTAACGGTTGTTGAGTGCCTAGAGATGGTTAACATAGGACGTGTATTTGGTAGACGGGGCGGGGCTATAGAGGAGCATATCCTGAAGCTCACGGGAGATCTCTTGGAACAATAAGGAGACTAGTGCGCTCTCTGGCATCTCGGCCTCTAGAGCTAAGCGTTGAAACTCCGACAGGTAGGCGGTAAAGTCTAGGTTCTTCTGCTTCTATTGGAAAAGACGGTTCTGGGTATTTTAGATGCGGTTAGGGTCGCCGAAGGCCCTTTCTAGGTACTCTAGCATCTGTGGGTAATCGATAAACTGGGGAATTCCGTATTAGATCTTCGGTAGCATTAGCGCGTACGCTTTACCCGTAAGTCGTCCTGCTACGTAAAGTATGCGCCTAGTGGTCTGCGGGAATCGGTCGGCGTTCGCGCTTATCTTGCCGTAGATCTATTAGATAAACTGGTGTAGGTCGCTTTAAGTTCTATTAAATTCCTTTGGGTTAGGTATTCTCTCACTAAGGCTAGGAGTTCGGGAACTTAGGGGAGTAATAGGCGCAGGCGGTCCCGTTAGGTCGTCTGCGGAGGCTTTAGCAACGCCAACGGGGTTAGAGGGAAACGTAGTGACGGCCGGGGGTGTTAGTACCGCAGGTGTAGTAGCTGTAGTAAGCTGGGTCTTTTTAATCTCGAGTTTAGTAATCTGCTTCTGGTCGGCTGCTAGCTGCTCCTTCTGGTACTGAATGACAGCTTCTCTCTCCTTGACCTGGATCCGCAGAGACTGCTCCTGGTCCTGGGACGCGGCGTGGTTTTCCTCGAGTTTT